AGTTACAGCCATCCCAGTACTGCTCGCCTCACTACCTGTCTGCGTTCACGTGCCTCATCCTTGGTCTGCCGATGATCAGCATCCCACACTGACGCCACTCAGGAGCACACCTAGGTACCACAAAGATACCGCTTCTCCTTGTACCTAATGAAGGGTCAAAGGCTTGAGAACTCCCACATGCAGGCTGAGGGACACACACACTACTGCTAGCTTGTTATTTAGGAGGAATCGCAGGAAGGGGAATAGTACATACATGCACACATGATTAAGTAAGGAGATGAGAATGAATGGGTGGGGCTGAATGAATGGGGAGCAGAGCCATATTTGCATTTGGGGCTACCTGGAAGGTAAAGCAAACCCACTGTTACTGGACAAGCACACCTACATGTGCGGAGCTGCTCTGTACTCCTCCAAATCATGAAGCCACACCCGGGACACTACATAGGAAGAAACTGTCGCTCCCCCTCTTCGTGGAGGAACGACACAGGACCCTGCGCTGTTCTTTTTGTCTGCTCGGCCCTCCCCGGGTTTGCTGCTGGTTCTTCCCGGGTTGGCTACTGTCCCTTCCACCTCCGTGGAAGGGCAGTTCCCCCTGGCCGCATTCCCCACTTCCGCAGGGGAGTGGCACACCGCCGGCCGGCTTTCTCGGGGGCTGCACGGGTTCCCTTAGATGTTCCCCATAGATGTTCCTGGTGCATGCCGTCTCTCTCCTCCTTTATAGTCCTCTTCCACCAATCCCAACTCGGCTGCCCACACGCCGAGTACGCTGCTCTCCAATCAGGAGCAAGTCCTACAGTTTATTAGTTGAACTGGAGGCAGCTGTGCGGAAGCTGTTTACTTCTCTCCCAGCGCCATATTGTGGGAGAGCAGATGCATAGAATAAGTCTTAATTCCAGTTACTCAGTCTAGTCCGGTTTGCTCCCCACAGAAACAAACCAAGGGAAGTGAGCCAGGGAAGGCATCATCCTCCCTGTACTCCCATATGAGGTAGGCCTTGTCACTTCCTGCTGCCCCACAATGCCCTGCTATCAGGCCCACTCCTGAGTCCTTGAACTGGATGAGACGCTGACTTGGGAAATCACCCTGTCCTCTCACTGGGATGGGCTGCAAAGGGACAAAAGAGAAGAAATGAGAACGAAGAGAGGAAATCTCAGAACTCATCCCGAATAAAGTTAGGACCCAGGATTCCAGGGAAAGCACAACTCTGCCTAAGAAGACCACACCTTACCAGGTCTTTATAAATTCCCCCAATGTGCCAGAAACGTGCTGAGTGCATGACCTGGTATTAGGGCATAAAATGTACAGAATGACGGCTGGCGCCACGGCTCACTAGGCTAATCCTCCGCCTTGCGGCACCGGCACACAGGGTTCTAGTCCCGGTCGGGGCGCCGGATTCTGTCCTGGTTGCCCCTCTTCCAGGCCAGCTCTCTGCTGTGGCCAGGGAGTGCAGTGGAGGATGGCCCAAGTGCTTGGGCCCTGCACCCCATGGGAGACCAGGATAAGTACCTGGCTCCTGCCATCGGATCAGTGCGGTGCGGTGGCCGCAGCGCCGGCCGCGGCGGCCATTGGAGGGTGAACCAACGGCAAAGGAAGACCTTTCTCTCTGTCTCTCTCTCTCACTGTCCACTCTGCCTGTCAAAAAAAAAAAAAAAAAAAAAGTAAAGAATGACAACATATGATGACAAGTACAGAAGTATATTGTTTTGTACACGTAAAAATTCCAAGGAGAGCAAAGAATGGGGAAATCAGTTCCCTCAGAACCCTAGGACAGCAAACACTGATTCTAAGGCCTAGAGTATTTGGGGCCACGCGTTTGTACTTTCATGCACAAAAGGTGGAGGCAGAGGTGGGAGGGACAGGACGGGCAGCATTTCTGGAGCAACACTGTGATCAGGCAATCACGATTTGAGTATGGCGTCTGGTCCTTCTTTGTACATCCCTGGTAGGAGGTTTGTTTTGCAAGGGTGGACATCAGCAGTTCCTCTAAGTGACCTGGTCTACCCAGCAGGGGCCTCCTAGGTGGGTATCACACAGATGGGAGCAGTCACACATCCACAGGACCTGGGTATCCAGCACAGCCCGGGTGGGGAGGCAGGGAAAGGCAGTCCCCAGGGGCCACCTCACTCTGCAATTGAGAACTAAGTCTTCCACTGAGCATGTGGCCTCCTGATACTGCAGGTGGAGAACTCCCGATTTTGGGGAACAGACCATATCAGCAAAAGTTGCAGGTCCACTTCTGTTCAGGTTCTGTGTAGTTCATGCCCATTCTGCTCCCAGCAATCATGAGCACTCAGAGGTGAGATCCCTCCCTGCCCACTGCCTCTGCAGGCTCCTCCCACACTGCAGGGATCCCATTCCCCCAGCAGGGCCCCTGTAAACTCCTCTGCTTCTCCTAAGGAAACATGGAGTCGGGGCCCAGGTTCTGTGCTCCTGCTGGGACTGGGGACCTCACAGGTGTTCACAGGGAGGTCCAGGAACAGAGGAACAAAAACATAGTAACTCCATTCTCTGTCACAAGATGGTCTTTTAAGATACAGATCCAAGGCTGAAGGAATCCTTTCCAGATTGGAGCTGACCTAAAACAACGGCCCCACAGCTTCAAGGAATTGTGGCAAGAGGCAAATGGCGCCCCAGCCGGTCATTGTCCTGGACCCACTCAGGTCTTGCCTGAGGAGACTTCTCTAGCCCTGCCCAGACATGGCCGCCACCAGCCACCTAGAGCTCTGCCCAGTTGGGCCACAGCCGCCACCCACCCTGGAGCACGGGCCAGACACTCATGACCCTGGCCCACAAGACACCAGGGCCTGAGCTGGCCCCAGCCTCCAAGGGCCTGAGCCCTCCCAGGTCAGGCCCCGAGACCTGCCTAAGCACTCAGTTCTCCACCAAGCTGGTCCCACGCAGGCACACAGCCCCCAGGCCTGGCGAAATTCACAAAGTTCCACTTGATGGAGGTATTGCACCGCAACTGCCACTTGGCCTTCCCCCTCAGGTCCTCCCTCTTCCCTTCATGTGGGAAAAAACGCAGAATGGTTGCTACCCAGCAGGATGGCTCCGCCTGCCTCTGAAGGGAGCAGGAGGAGCTACTGCACAGCCCTGGGTGCAGCACCATCCCGGTGTCTGCACAGCCCGGCTTGACCTCACTGCTCCTTGGCTGCCCTCAGGACTAGGGCACAATGGATGCTCCTGATGGCACGCCCAGCAGGGGTAGAGCACCTGTGCCTAGCCTGGCAGCACCGTAGGCACTTCAGGCCTCGGGGATCCAGGACAAGTCTCCATAGGTTCGGACCCAAGCACATCACTACATTAACTGGCAATGCTAACAGAGACCAAGTTTTAGGAAACAGGATCTGAGAGGCAGGTAGACTTGACTCGATGACCTTGGAGAAGACAAAAAACAGAAAATGCACCAGTTTGTATGAGGGCCCATGAAAAACAATTTCTATCTACAAGCCCCTGTACACCTTCAACAAGGACAGCCTAAAACCCAGCAAAGATTCCTCAAAAGTCAGGCTAGAGGGGAGTCTCCCCATTTTACTCCTAAGACAAGAGGGTGAGGAAATTGCCCACAGGTGCCATTCAGGGCTCCAGCGCTGAGGCACCCCTTAGCTCCGCCCAGACATGGCCGCCACCAGAATACTGGGCTCTGGTTTGCTGGTCTGTAGCTGACAGGAACCTTGGAGGTCAGCCCCCTGTCCCTGCGTGAATCTGGGCCCTTCACAGCACCTATGGCATGGTGGCCAACCTTCCACTGGGTCTCCAAGAACTCTTGAGCCCTCCCATGGCCCTCACTTCCCTGTCAAGACAGTCCCACACAAGTGCACTAGCCGCCAGGGCTGGCGGGATCCATGAATGACTTCCTCTTGATGGCAGTGTTGTACCATAAATGTCTACTGTGCTGTGACGCAGGTCCTCCCTCTACCCTTCGTGCAGGAAAAAACACAAAGCACTGTCCAGTGGGTGCCCAGTATGGAAACGAGGCCTGGCTCTGAGGGGAGAAGGAGGAGCTACTGCACAGCTCTGGGTGCTACCCAGTACTGTGCCAGCACATCCTTGCCTCAGTATGCTGCTCCTCACTGCCCTCAGGACCAGCACACAAAGGATCCTCCTCATGGCACCCCAGGCAGGATAGGGCACCTGCACCTAGCTCAGCCAACCATGCTCTGTCCTGTAAGACAGTTGGCATCAACCCTCAGGGATCCAAGCAAGGTCCCCACAGGCTTGGACCCAAGGCCACCCTGCAACAGTCAGACTAGAACCTTGTGACTGCACCTGGGATGCCAGCTTGTCCAGGAGGTCCTGGGCAGGCAGAGATTTAGATCAGTTCAATCACAAGTTAGTTTCCCCTAAAATCTCAAGCAGCAATACAAAATGGATACAGACACAAAACACTGGGAAAAAGGGGAGAGTTTGGAGTTACAACCATCCAAGTACCAAAGACCTCAGTATAGGTCTGCTTTCACATGTCTCACCCCTGGGCTGCAGACAATGAGCATCCCACACTCACTGCCACTCAACACAGCAGGCAGTGCCACACCAAAGACACCGCCTCTCCTTGCACCAGACTAAGGGTCAATGGCTTGAGAACTCCCACATGCAGGCTGGGGGACAAACACACTACTGCTAACTTGTAATTTAGGAGGCATCTCGGCAAGGGGAATAGTACACATATGCACACATGATTGAGTAAGATGGGAGGTGAGAAAGTATCTGACAGGCAGGTGACAATGAATATGTAAATGCGGGGCCAAAAGGGAAGCGTAGCCATATTTGTAGGTGGAGCTACCTGGATGGTGTAGCAAACCCACGGGTCCTGGACAGATTCACCTTCACGTACAAATCCACTCGGGACTCCTCCACACCATGAGGATACAACCTGGGACTCTCCATAGTGAGTGACAACCTTGGACCCAGGGAGGTGAGCCAGGGCATCGTCCTCCCTGTCCTCCCATCTGATGTGGGCCCTGTCACTTCCACTGCCCCCACAATGTCCTGCTTCTTACCTGGGCCTCCTCCTGTGCCTTGATCTGGAAGACATGCTGACTTGGGAAGTCTGCCCGTCCTCTCTCTCTTGGATGGGCTGCAAAGGACAAAAGAGAGCAACTAAGGACATGACAGGAGAGGAAATACTTGAACTCATCCTTCATGATGTTAGGACTCAAGATCCACAGGAATGCAAAACACTACCTCAGATGACCAGACCTTATCAGGTCTTTATAAATTCTCCCAGTGTGCCCAGAACCCTGGTGAGTGCATGCCCTGATGCTAGGGCCTAAAATGCTCATGCAAGCTGACATATGAAGGGAAATACAGATATCCTGGTCTTCTGTTGTTCTGTACACATAAACACTGCAAGGAGAGAAAAGAAAAGAGGAAACCACTTCCGTCAGTATCCACATTCACCAAACAGTGATTCTAAGGCCTAGAGTATTTGGGGCCACACGTTTGTACTTTCATGCACAAAAGGTGGAGGCAGAGGTGGGAGGGACAGGACGGGCAGCATTTCTGGAGCAACACTGTGATCAGGCAATCACGATTTGAGTATGGCGTCTGGTCCTTCTTTGTACATCCCTGGTAGGAGGTTTGTTTTGCAAGGGTGGGCTGGAGGCCCTCAGCGGGTCCTCTAAGTGGCCTGGTCTACCCCAGCAGGGGCCTCCTAGGTGGGTATCACACAGATGGGAGCAGTCACACATCCACAGGACCTGGGTATCCAGCACAGCCCGGGTGGGGAGGCAGGGAAAGGCAGTCCCCAGGGGCCACCTCACTCTGCAATTGAGAACTAAGTCTTCCACTGAGCATGTGGCCTCCTGATACTGCAGGTGGAGAACTCCTGATTTTGGGGAACAGAGCAGAACCAGTAAGAGTTACAGGTCCACTTCTGTTCAGGTTCTGTGTAGTTCATGCCCATTCTGCTCCCAGCAATCATGAGCACTCAGAGGTGAGATCCCTCCCTGCCCACTGCCTCTGCAGGCTCCTCCCACACTGCAAGGATCCCATTCCCCCAGTAGGGCCCCTGTAATCCCAGCTGCTTCTGTAAGGACCACTGACATCAGGACTCTGGTTCTACGCTCCTGCTGAGAATGGGAACCTCACAGGAGTTCACAGGGAGGCTGCGTGTAACTTCCGTGACGCAGGAACAGAGGAATAAAACCTCCTCTTCAATAAGCAGATTTTGAAACTGGAGGATTTCTCTGGTCTTTTACAATGCAGATTCAACACGGAAGTAATGGTTGTAGCTGACATCACACAATGGCCATGAGCCTTCTAAGGAATGGGACAGGAGGCAAATGGCATCAAGGCCACTGCCCCAGATCCACTAAGGTCTCCGTTGAACAGAGATCCACTACCTCCACTCAGACATGTCCAACACCAGCTTCCTCAACTCTGCCACGTTGGACCAGAGCTGCCTCGCACCTTGGAGCTGGGACCCCTGGCTCTAAGTGTTTCTAAGGCATCAGCAGCCCACACTGAAAAGGTGGAGGCAGAGGACAGGACAGGCAGCGTACATATCTGGAGCAACACGGCCATCAAGCAGTAGCATTTGAACTATGGCTTGCACGTTGTCTAAGTAGACCCCTAGGTGAATGCTTGATAGGTGACTGGTGTTTTGGTGGTACTTGGGGGTTCCTAAAAGTGGCTATGGCCACTCTGGGAGGTGCCCTGTTAGGGGGGTTTGAAACCAATGGAAACAGACTCACAAACGGATTACACTGGGTCTCCAGGACAGCCAAGGGGAGGCGGTAGTAGAGGGCACTCTTCAGTGGTTGCCACTTACTGCTATTTAGCATTGAACTTCTGGCGGACATTTGGCCTCTCATAAAACCCAGCTGTTACACTAAGGGGCACCACTGTCACGAATCTAGTTCCACGCTCCTGCTGGGACTGGAGACCTCATGGGAGTTCACCGGGAGGCTGAGTGTAATTTCTGTACACCAGGAACCGGGGAAGGAAAATGGATTTGCTTCCTTCTCTGCCACAGCAGATTTTGAAACTGGAAAAGCTCTGTGGTATTTAAAGAGGTGGCGTCAAGGCTGAAGGAATCCTTACGGGGTCCTAGTTCACCTAACCCCAGTACCCTGATACCACAGTAGATTGCAGAGAAAGAAAATGGAGGCCTTAGCCCACATAAGTCTTAGAGGCTCAGGCTTCCACCAGCCCCACCCAAGTATGGCTGTCACCAGGCTCCAGAGTTCTGTCTTGGTTGGTCAAAGCTGCCAGGGACCCTGGATCTTGGCACCCCGCAAATACCTATGTCCAGGGCCTGTACAGATCACAGGACCAGAGTGCCGAGCTGGCCAGGATCTCCAAGGCCTGTGAGCCCTCCTAGGGTACGGCCCTCGGATCACCTGAGAGCTCACTTCCCTGCCATCCAGTCCTGCGCAGGCGCATAGCCAAACAACTGCTGAGATCTAGAAACTATTTCCTCTTGATGGCAGTATTGCACCACAAATGCCACTCGTCCTGCCCTCTGCACCTCCTCCCTCCTCCCTTCCCGCAGCAAAAAACGCCCAGCGCTGTTCAGCAGGGACCCAACAGGGCTACTCTGCCTGGCTGTGAGGGGAGGAGGAGCAGGAACTGCACAGCCCTGGGTGCTGCACGGAAAAAGTGCCCGCCCAGCCTGGCCTCAGCACACTCCTCCTAGGCTGCCCTGGGGACAAGCCCCACAGCACTGAGGGTCAGGGCACGCCCAGCTGTGGAGGACCCCATGCCTAGCTGAGCTGCCCCCTTTCCATGGAGGCCATTTCAATCCTCCCGTATTCCAACCCAGGGAGTCACAGGCTGGGAACTCAGCTGACTCAACACTAGATTCAGTGGGACCTTCTGACTGGGCTGTGCACTGCCAGCTAGCCCAGGAGGTGCAGGGCTGTCAGACATGCTGACACTCACTGAGGCCACACTGACATGATGACAGGGCAGGCTCACAGAGATGCTGGGAAGGAGCAGAGTGAGGAGTTTCGGCTATCCCAGGACCACAGGCCCCAGTGCTGCCGCCTCTCACAGGGCTCTGCCAAGGTCTGCAGACAAGGAGGGGCCCACACTCAGGCCGGACAGGAACAAGGAACACACTGAAGACACACAGACTCATAAATACATACAGGTAGAAGGACAAGGTGAGAGGGATTAGTGTGCAATGCTAAGGGAGACCATTTTCAATGGAAGGAATCCCTACGCACAGTAGTATTTCCAAGTTGGTTATGGGAGAAATAGAAAACCGTGCATACATACATATGTACATACAGGCATACCTTTACAAATACATGGGAAAGCATGTGTGTACACATGGATGAAGGAACGAACGAACCAATCAGTGAATAGAGAAAGCGGGAATAACACCCAATGCGTTCCAGTGGAGAACCAGAATGGCTGCTGCCCAGCCTAGCTGCTCTGGCTGGCTCTGCCAGAAGTACTGGGTGCTCCAAGGTCATTGCACATGTGCACCGTGGCCTCTACATCCTTCTCTAGGGCTGCATGAGGCTCTGCTTGCTAAGGCAATGGATTGCCACACCAGAAATGGATTACACACACACCTACCAAGCTGCACCACTACCACTAGAGGCAAGGTCTGCCCTCAGGAAATCCAGACAAGGTGCCCAAAGCCTGGGACCCAGACCACCTGGGAAAGGTCAAATCAGACCTGTCACTGCACTCTGCAAGGCCAGCCTGACCAAGAGACCCATGGTGGCCATACATTCTGACCGTGTAATGGACAGATAGGGTAACAGAGAGGTAGGTAAGTACAGAGACCAAGAGGTACTTGGAAGGAGCAGAGAGTAAGGTGTAACCGGCATCCCAGGACCACAGGCATCAGGGTCTGTCTTCTCTCACAAGCCCCCGCCCCCCAAAGAAGGCAGACATGAGGGTCCAACACTGAGCCAAGTCAGGAGGGAATCCAGGTATCATACCACAGTGATTCTCCTTTTTCCTGACCCAACGTCAGCTGAGAACTCCTAGATGTTAGCAGAGCAAACACACACCAGTGATACCTCCTGAATGAGGAGGAACCCGTATCCACGGGTGATCTCTGAGGCAGATGTGGGGGCATAAAAGGAAGGGGAGTTGCACACAGATGTACTCTTGATCAATTAACTTCAGAGGTGACAACAGGTCTGCGCGTGCAGGTGGAATGAATCAATGTAGGCACAGGAATGAATGGGGGCACAGCCACACCTGCATTGGAGCTACCTGGAAGGTAAAGCACACCAAGGTCCTGGACAAGGTGTCCTCCATGTGTGCAGCCACTCTCACCTCCTCCACACCATGCAGCCCCAGCCTGGGGCACTCTAAAGACATGACCACCTAGGACCACGGGGGTGAGGCTGGGCTTCATCCTCTCTGTCCTCCCACCTGATGTGCACTTCGTGCTGCTCCCACAATGTCCAGCTTCCCACCCAGGCCTGCTCCTGTGTCCTCGAGCTGGATGAGATGCTGGCTTGGGAAGTCACCTGTCTTCTCTCTGGGATGAGCTGCAAAGGGACAAGAGAGAGGAACAGAGGAAATAAGAATACAGGAAATCCTGGAATGCATCCTTCATGAAGTTAGCACTCAAGATCCCCAGGAACACACAACTCTGCCGCAGAAGACCCCACCTTACCAGGTCTTTATAAATTCCTCCAGTGTAACCAGAAACCTGGTGAGTACATGACATTGTTAGGAACTAAAATGAATAGGAAAGATGACATATGAAGAGAAATGCACACATAACGTGTTTTATAAACTACCAAGAAAGCAAGGAAAAGGGGAAATCCGTTCCCCCAGGATCCTCCCCTGTCCCCCACAATAGAGCACACACTGCTTGAAAGGCTAAGTGCACTTGGGGCCATTCTTTTTTAATTTCATACACAAAAGGTAGAGACAGTGAAGAATGTGGCAGGCAGTGTATCTGGAGCAACACAGCCATCAAGCAGAAGCATCTGAAGTGTGGCCTGCACGCCGTATGATTAGACCTCTAGTTCAATGTTTCATAGGTGACTGGTGTTTTGGAGGCACTCAGAGGTTCTTGAGGCTGCCCACGGCCACTCTAGAGGCACAGCCTCAGCAACTTTGTATTTGTCTTCCTGATAAAGCAGATGCAGAGCCCTGATTTTATCAGAATAAACCAACCAGTAAGAGTTACAGGTCCATATCTGAGCAATTTACGTGTACTTTACTCCCATATTTCATTACTTGTTATATGGTAGGATTTATTTATTTGAAAAGCAGAGTTACAGAGAGACAGAGGTAGAGAGACCCTCCATCTGCTGGCTCACTCCCTAGATGGACCCAATGGCTGGAGCTATGCCGATCTGAAGCCAGGAGCTTCTTCTGGGTCTCCCACGTGGGTGCAGAGGCCCAAGGACTTGGGTCTTCTTATACTGGTTTGTCAGGCCATAACAGAGAGCTGGATGGAAGTAGAGCAGCTGGGACTCGAACTGGTGCCCATATGGGATGCCAGCACTGCAGGCAGTGGATTTACCCGCTACACCACAGCACTGCCCCCCATGTCTTTCAAAAGAAATCTGCGTACTCAGGGGTGAGATCCCTCCCTGTTCATTGCCTCTGCAGGCTCCTCCCACACTGCAAGGGATCCCATTCCCCTGTTAGGGACCCTGTACACCCAGCTGTTACTCTAAGGAGCACTGGCATCAGCACTCCAGTTCTATGCTCCTGCTGGGGCTGGGACCTCATGGGAGTTCAGAGAGTCTGAGTCTAACTTCTGTGCCCGAGGAATACTGGGATGAAATTGGATTAACTTCCCCCTCTGTCACAGCAGGTTTTGAAACTGGCAAAGCTCTGTGGTGTTTTAGGAGGTGGTATCCTGCTGAAGAAATCCTTTCAGAGGGGTCCTGGTTCACTTAGCCCAGTGGCCGAGCAGAACCCGGCGAAATGCCCCAGAAGTCTGCACTCGCTCAGATGTTGGCTGAGACTTCCACTAGCTCCGCCCAGAAATGGCCGCCACCAGGAGAACGATCTCTATGGGGCTGGGCCGTAGCTGCAACGCACCCTGGAACTCAGCCCCTGGCCCTTGTGTGTTCAGGACCTCCACAGCCCACAAAACACAGAGGCCCAAGCTGTCAGGGACCTCCAAGGGCCTCCCTGGTCAGGCCCTGTGACCCATCTGCACCCTCATTTTCCCTACTAAGCCAGTCCTGCACAGGCACACATCCCCCATGGCCAGCGGAATCCGAAACGACTTCCTCTTGATGGCAGTATTGCACCGCAAATGCCCCCTGTCCTGCCTCCATAGGTCCTCCCTCCGCCCTTCCCGCAGCAAAAAAACCCTTCAGTGCTATGCAGCAGGTGCCCAACAAGCTGCTACCCAGCAAGGTGGCTCCGCTTGGCTCTGAGAGGAACAGGAGGAACTGCTGCCCCTGGGTAACCAACAGATGCTCTCCAGGGCAATCTCTGTCTTGACACAAGTGGATGGAGAAGTTTCTGATTATTCCCTAGTAGCTGTTATGCTTCATCCTGGATCCCCTTCATGAAATTCAGAATGTTAACAGCAAAGCAAATCCCTGACAACTCCTTATATAGCTTCGCAGTACTGGAAAAGGATCCCATTCAGTTAGGGAGAGTGCCCAGTACACCTGCTAGTGCTATTGCAGGCCATTCCCCTCCTGACTGTGCACCTGCTGCCATGGGGCCCACAGACTCAAAGCTCAAGAGTTGGAACAGGAGGCAAAAGGCACATTTGTGTCTTCCTGAGCAGACTTCCACTAGCCTCTCCCAGACATGGCTGCCACCAGGCTCTAGAGCTCTGCTTGGCTGTGCCACAGCCACCACACACCCTGGAGCTCAGACCTCTGACCTCTGACCTTGCCTGTGTCCAAGCCCTCCACAGCCCACAGACATGGGGAGCAGAGATGGCCTGGGCCTCCAAGGGCTCCGAGTCCTCCCAGGGGGCAATCCCAGGACCAGGTGCCCACACCTTCACTTCACTGTCAAACCAGTCCCAGGCAGGCATACCCACAACCTGAAGAGCTAATGCCATCTGCTCTATGCTGGGGGTCTTCCCTCTTCTTTTCTTGCAGCAAAAAAGCCCAGTGCTGTCCAACAGGGACCCAGCATGGCTGCTCCAACTGGCTCTGAAGGTATCAATAGGAGCTACCATATAAACTGTGAGTACTGGACCATCCTCCTGCCCACATGGCCTGGCCTCAGCACCCTGCTCTTGGGATGTCGTCAAGACCAGTGCACAAGGGAAGCTCCCCAGGGCACCCCCAGCTGGGATCAGGCGCACACTTAGCTAGGCCCCACCTTCTGTAAAACACGTGGCTTCAGCCATCAGGAACCAGTACAGGCCTCTACAGGTTGAGACTCCAGCTCACTTTGACTAGCAAGGGTGACAAGGACCAAGCTTTAGGTAGCAGGACGTTGCAGGCAGGTTGAACTCTCGCGATGACCTTTGAGGAGACAAAGGAAAACATGCCAGCTCCTATGAGTGCTCATGCAACCGACTTTCCGTGTGCAAGCCTTGCAAACACCTTCACAACAGAGCACCTAAAACCAAAGGAAGATTCTACAAACTCAGCTTAGAGAGGGAGGCTGCCCATTTTACTCCTGAGACAAGAGGAAGGAGGAAGATGGCCATAGCTCCTCCTCAGGGCTCCAGGGCAGAGGCAGCCCTTGGTCCCGCCCAGACATGACCGCCACCAGGCTACTGAGCTCTGGTTTGCTGGTCTGTAGCGGACAGGCACCCTGGAGCTGGCCCCCTGAACTCTGCGTATATCTGGGCCCCACAGCCTTGATAACATGTGGACCAATTTTCTACTAGGCCTCCAAGGGCTGTGAAAACTTCCTGGCTACAGCCCGGGACTCGCCTTCACTCCCACTCCCCTGCCAAGCCAATTCCAAGCAGTTTGTGCTGGAAGAGCTGGCGGCATCAGCAAATGACCTCCTCTTCTTGATGGTAGTGTTGAACCACAATACCACCTACACTGCCCACCACGTTCACAAAACCCTGTGGCACAGCGCATCCCAATAAATTGGACAGGAAGTAAACAGAAGCCTTGGGCCACTGAAGTGTTGGCTGAGCAGGCTGCCATTAGCCCCGCCCAGAAATGGCTGCCACCAGGCTAGTGAGCTCTGTCTGCTGGGCCAAAGCCTCCAGGGAACCTGGAGCTCAGCACCCTGCCCCTACATGCGTTTGAGTCCTTCAAAGCCCACTTGACAAATGGACAGAGCTGCCCAGGCCTCCAAGAGCTTGGAGCTGCGCCCTGGGGACCACCTTCACTCACTCACTTGCCAAGCCCCAAGTGCACAGGCACTCAGCTGGGAGGGCTGGCGGGATCTGAAAACAACTGCCACTTGATGGCAGTATTGCACCACAAATGCCACCTGCCCTGTTCTCCATTGTTCTTCCCTCCGCCCTTCGAGAAGGAAAAAACATCCAGCGCTGTGTAGCGTGAGTCCAACATGGCTGCTGCCCAGCATGGCTGCTAGGCCTGGCTCTGAGGGGAGCAGGAGCATTACCACAGGGCACTGGTGCCACAACCTCCTCATGCCACAGCACCAATCTAGATGGCCTTCCTGGGCTAAGCTAGGCACCAGGAATACTTACCTAGTCATTAAGGAACCCACCCCCTGCTGTGGAGGATGCCCTGCCTACAGGAGCCACCTCTTAGAACTGGAATGCCTTGCATTCTTCCATAATCCAACCCAGAGCCTCACAGGCTCAAAACCCCACTGATTCAACATTACTCTCACTGGGACTTTTCACCGGGTTCTGCATGGTCAGCTTGCTCAGGAGGTGCAGGACAGTTAGACATTCTGAGTCACTGCAGGCCACTTTAACATGATGTCTCAGGAACCCCGAGGGACTGGGAAGGAACAGGGAGTGAGGAGTCACAGCCATCCCAGGACCACAGGCCTCAGGACCTGCCTCCTCACACAGCATTCTCCCAAGGTCTGCAGATAACGAGGGTCCCACACTCGGGCCAGGCAGGAATAAGGAACACACCACAGACAGACATGACCTGGGATGACAAGGAAGTTCAGCCAGCAGGCCAGCTGTCACTGAGCCTTGTGAAGCCAGCTTGCCCAAGTGGTCCAGGCCTGGCAGATATTTGGACTGAGTGAATTACAAGACAGGTTGCCAGGAAGTCACAGGCAGCCAGACATAAAGGACCGGAACCCTGAGGCAAAGGGAAGGACAGGAAACTTTGAAGCTACAGCCATCCCTGTACCACAGGCCTCAGTACCTGTCTGCACTCACAGGTCTCACCCCTGGTCTGCTGACAATCAGCGCCCACACTAATGCCACTCAAGAGAGCAGGCAGTGCCACACTAGAGACAACGCCACTCCTTGCACCAGACTAAGGGTCAAGGGCTTGAGAACTCCCACACGCTCGCTGAGGGACACACACATGACTGCTAGCTTGTTATTTAGGAGGAATCTCAGCAAGGGGAATGGTACACATATGCACATGTGACTAAGGAGAAGAGAATGAATGTGTGAATTGGTGAATGGGTGAATGGGTAGGGCTGA